ACGACCTGTGTGTGAATCTTTTGTGCAGCCCGTATAATAGTTTAAGTTCATGCATGAAAGTAACTGGTTTAGTTGGTGCGAGATTGAAGATTTCTTTTGGAGTTAGTAAGGCAACATCCATGATCTTAGCTGTGTGGGCTCCTAATATATTCTGAGGTTATCTCTTGTAGGGTACAGAATCTGTAAATAGAATTTAACTCTCATGTCCGCAGCTACTTGACCACGTATAGGAGATTGTTAATGTACTTGTCGGCTACTGTAGGGCAACCAACCCTATTGATTTTCTAGAGCACCACTGGAACTACGAAATCTTTTTTGGAGCTACTCTATCGCGTAACTTATCGGTGACAGTAGTGCGTCCAACTCTTATGATTTACTAGAGCACCATCGTAATGAGGAACTTGATATATATCACACCACTTTTACCGATGAAGACAGGTGAATTGACAGGGTCAGAAGAAGGTTGCTAACGTGATATCAAAGACTTCAATCTTATTCGTTAGCTTGACATAGATGAGATCAAATGCCCTTTTTCAAGACCTAAATATTGAAGAAATAGAAAAGGAGGAAAATGACGAAGATTAAATCACGAATATTTAAGGTTCAGTTAGTATTGTGTCCTCTCTTTCGGAGAACAGCATACCTATGCTGCAAATATATACATACATATATACATAGGGACTTAAAGAAGAATTTTTAGCTCAGTAAATGTTATTCTATGAGACTCTTTTCTTGATGTTTTCCGACAAACATACATGATATGCCCTAAAATCTTGCTGATTAACAAATCTACCGATTCCACCGTCGAAATCAACTTTTAGAAGGTCTTTATTATATTAACGATACAAATGGGAAACCATTCTATCAGTACCGCAATTCTGTAATTTTTTAATTTTAACTACCGATATCGTAAAGTAACGACAAATATCGGTTGCATTAACGAATTTCCAATTCTGTAACTTTTTAACGAACTTAGAATATTTTAACGACAAAGAACGGAAAAATATGAGAATGTCAAAAGTTTTGTATTGAAATATTTTTCAAATATAAAATTATTAACGTGAACTTTTTATTTGTCGTTACATTGCCGATACTTTTCGTTAACTAATGATTATGTTTAACGAAAAATATCGGTGAAATAAAATTCAGAATACCACATAACGACAATTATTGTTAACTTACGAATTTTTACTATTTAACGACAAAATATTGTAGTTAAAAAGTTACTGAATTGCGGTACAGACATACGATTAAATCCAAGTTATGTATATCAAATGAAAGGTATTTCGCAGACCTTTCCAAAGCAATTCATAACATTTCCACAATATGAAATTTCTAAAAATTTTATTATTAGCAACAACCAAAACTTCCTTTAGCCATTAGTTAATAACCTTTTAATTTGCATTAATTATTGTTTTCTTTTTCATAATATTATTTAAATTATATATTTTGATTTATATTTGTTGTTGTTTGAGTTTTTCTGAAAAAAATCATTTTAATACTCGTAATTAACATAAAAAAATTAAATTAACTTAACAACTAAAATTGTCGCTAATTAATTAATTTATTACAATTATTTTTATTAATTAAATTGTCTTAAAATTATTAACTATTTATTATTTATTAATTATTTATATTATTTGCTATTGTTTGTCTCTTTGTATATACAAAATTGTGTGTGTGTGTATTTTATTTTTTGATTTCTCTAAGTTTGTTTTTTACATATTTTTTATTTTTAATTTATTTGTTGTCAAAACCTAAAAAATAAACCATTTTGGCAGTGCATTGAAATTTTTTTGTTTTCTTTATCTTTAACTACAGTATCGTTAATTTGTTGTTATATATTAACATAATATTATTTTTTTTTAATTTCAAACTAAATTATTTTTACATTAATTAAATTAAACAACTTATTATTTGCTATAGAACAACTTAAAGATTTTTTATTTAAAAAAATTCATTTATAAAAAATTAATAACAAATTATATTTTATATTTTTAAATGGAAGACAACAGTTTTTTTTTTTATTTTCTTAAACAAATATAAAAATAAAATATAAAAAAATAATATATAAAAATTTAAATGAAAAAAATATTTCGTACGTAAAATTTATTAGGAACCTTATTTATTTTTTTCGTAATTTATTACAACAAAATTATTATTAGAGAACATAAAAAAGTTTGTTATAAAAAATAATGAGTAAAATGATTTGGATCTTAAATGGATGATCACCCACATTTACCAGAAATGCACTTACATAGGTATTCAAATTCAAAGAATTTTATTAGAATTTATGATTGTTTCTAGAAGAACTAGAACAGAACTAGAAACGAAATAGAACAGAACTGGAACAGAACTAGAACAGAACTAGAACAGAACTAGAACAGAACTAGAACTGAACTAGAACTGAACTAGAACTGAACTAGAACTGAACTAGAACTGAACTAGAACTGAACTAGAACTGAACTAGAACTGAACTAGAACTGAACTAGAACTGAACTAGAACTGAACTAGAACTGAACTAGAACTGAACTAGAACTCAACTAGAACTGAACTAGAACTGAACTAGAACTGAACTAAAACCTAACTAGAACTGAACTAGAACTGAACTAGAACTGAACTAGAACTGAACTAGAACTGAACTAGAACTGAACTAGAACTGAACTAGAACTGAACTAGAACCTGACGAACTAGAACTGAACTAGAACTGAACTAGAACTGAACTAGAACTGAACTAGAACTGAAACTAGAACTGAACTAGAACTGAACTAGAACTGAACTAGAACTGAACTAGAACTGAACTAGAACTGAACTAGAACTGAACTAGAACTGAACTAGAACTGAACTAGAACTGAACTAGAACTGAACTAGAACTGAACTAGAACTGAACTAGAACGAACTGACTGAACTGAACTAGAACTGAACTAGAACTGAACTAGAACTGAACTAGAACTGAACTAGAACTGAACTAGAACTGAACTAGACTGAACTAGAACTGAACTAGAACTGAACTAGAACTGAACTAGAACTGAACTAGAACTGAACTAGAACTGAACTAGAACTGAACTAGAACTGAACTAGAACTGAACTAGAACTGAACTAGAACTGAACTAGAACTGAACTAGAACTGAACTAGAACTGAACTAGAACTGAACTAGAACTGAACTAGAACTGAACTAGAACTGAACTAGAACTGAACTAGAACTGAACTAGAACTGAACTAGAACTGAACTAGAACTGAACTAGAACTGAACTAGAACTGAACTAGAACTGAACTAGAACTGAACTAGAACTAGAACTACTGAACTGAACTAGAACTGAACTAGAACTGAACTAGAACTGAACTAGAACTGAACTAGAACTGAACTAGAACTGAACTAGAACTGAACTAGAACTGAACTAAATGAACTACTGAACTGAACTGAACTGAACTAGAACTGAACTAGAACTGAACTAGAACTGAACTAGAACTGAACTAGAACTGAACTAGAACTGAACTAGAACGAACTAGAACTGAACTAGAACTGAACTAGAACTGAACTAGAACTGAACTAGAACTGAACTAGAACTGAACTAGAACTGAACTAGAACTGAACTAGAACTGAACTAGAACTGAACTAGAACTGAACTAGAACTGAACTAGAACTGAACTAGAACTGAACTAGAACTGAACTAGAACTGAACTAGAACTGAACTAGAACTGAACTAGAACTGAACTAGAACTGAACTAGAACTGAACTAGAACTGAACTAGAAACTGAACTAGAAACTGAACTATAACTGAACTAGAACTGAACAGAACTGAACTAGAACTGAACTAGAACTGAACTAGAACTGAACTAGAACTGAACTAGAAACTGAACTAGAACTGAACTAGAACTGAACTAGAACTGAACTAGAACTGAACTAGAACTGAACTAGAACTGAACTAAACTGAACTAGAACTGAACTAGAACTGAACTAGAACTGAACTAGAACTGAACTAGAACTGAACTAGAACTGAACTAGAACTGAACTAGAACTGAACTAGAACCTGAACTAGAACTGAACTAGAACTGAACTAGAACTGAACTAGAACTGAACTAGAACTGAACTAGAATGACTAGACTGAACTAGAACTGAACTAGAACTGAAACTAGAACTGAACTAGAACTGAACTAGAACTGAACTAGAACTGAACTCGAACTGAACTAGAACTGAACTAGAACTGAACTAGAACTGAACTAGAACTGAACTAGAACTGAACTAGAACTGAACTGAACTAGAACTGACTAGAACTGAACTAGAACTGAACTAGAACTGAACTAGAACTGAACTGGTACATTATAACAGGGTGATCTTTTAAATAAATTGTTCATAAAAGTAAAAAATAAAATAGATTTTTTTCATATTTTCTTCTTTTTTTGGCAGTAATTGTTGTGTTTTGATATTTGTAAAATATAAATAAAACTAGAAGTAAAAAACGAAACCAAAAAAAGGAGAATATTACATAATATATTCTTTACTTCTATCAAATATTTAATTATAATTATTAATTAATTAATTAATTATAAATTACATTATAATTACATACAATAAATACTATAAGTCTTCACTACTTTTAAATTTTTTATTTTTATATATTAATTTTCATATATTTTACAAATTTTATATTTTCATAACAATGTTGTTTTTTGGTTTTTGTTGTTGTAATAATGCTAATTATAATATTACGTAACTTAGAAATAAAAAATTTTTGTTTTTTTGGTTTTTGAATAAGAAAAAGTGTTAATTACGGGTATTGGTTACTGTTCCAAGATGAACTTGTTTTTTTTTTTGTTTGGTTTTTGATTTAACTAATTTGTTGTTGTTGTTTTGGTTTAATTAAAAATTAATGCTAAATTTACGTACAACGTAAAATTTTATTATATTTATTTTAAATGGGGATTATATGTTTTTTTGGTTTTTGTTTTTTTTCAGTAAATGTTATAAAGTGCATTTGATTTTTTTTAAGGGATTTGATTTATCGTTTTTTTTGTTTGTTTGTATTCTATATTTTTTTTTTGTTTTAAACTTTTTATAAACAATTAACTATTTTGTTGTTGGTATTTAACTAAGTACTTTTTTTGAGTGTATTTTGTTTAAGCTAAAACTACTTTTTGTCTTTGTTTTTTGGGGGGGTTTGGGGGAGATTTTTGTCGGGTAGTTTTATTTATATTATTTAAGAGTTTTTGTTCATTTCTATGATGTCGTTGTTTAAAATGTTTTATATTTTTTATTTAAGTTTTTTTTCAGTGTATTTCTGTTGTTATAGCCAACACACGCACACACAGCATTTGTTGGATTTTGGTTTACGCTTAAAAACGAGCCCTCTGGCCACCTTAAAGCATTTGCCAGTTTACTTTATGTTGAAGGAATTTCATTTTTCCCTCTTAAATTTTTTGGCAGTGTCTAACATAATTTTTTTTTTTTGTTGCTAAATAATTCTTTTAAAAGTTAAAATTTTTAAAAGTTTCTTTTTTTAGTTTATTTTTTTAGTAGTTTCTCCTAAATGTCTTCATGATTTATTGCTTTAGTTTTGTGTTTTTTTTTTTTAGTTCTATTCGTTAAACATTATTAATTTGATTGCTTAATTATATCAAAAAATTTATCTAAAGTGCAAGTACATCCAAGTTTTATTGTTTTGTTAATAAATTAAATGAAGATGGTCACACCATTGTTGAAATTTCCTTTAAATGCTCCGAAGAGTAAGTGAGAGAGCGCTTGAAAGTTTGTGTTAGAGAGGTAACATAAAGCAAGAGTTGTCTGTTCTTACTTTAAGAATGATCTCCTCTATCCAGACTTTTAGTTTTCCTATTGAGATGTATGACCACATATTTATGTCCGAAATAGGGTGAAAAGTGTGATGAATCTGATAGAAAAAAAATTAAATGAAATGTCAACAAACTTAATTAAAGTTAAAGCTTAAAGCTTTATACTTAAAACTCTCTTAAAATGCTTTTTCTAACTTTTGTTTATTTTGTTTTATATGCCTAGAAAAGCTTTAAAAAGCTTTATTTCTTGCGTAAGAAATCTGTGTATTTGCGTGCTCTTTTGCGTACTTTCTTAAAAGCATTTGTTAATTTAAAGCTCTCTCTCAAATGATGATGACCGTAATGACCATGATGTGAGTGATAATGAGTATGGGCTCTTTGTATGTCCGGCGGATAATCATAGTGTGGATTAGGATGATGATGCTGCTGTTGTTGCAAATGCATATACGAAGACGTAGATGGATTAATGGAAGCTGAATAGTTCGAAGAATTGGCCGGTGAGGCGGGCGATAGTGGTGAGAGTGGTGTGGGCGTATACTGGCCACTACCCCTCTGCGAAGACAATAAATTATGACCCGATGAAGCATCGAACGATTCGAATGACATGCCTTGCTGTTGACGTTCCACCGGCTCTGGCGATTGTAGCGATGAAGAATGTTGACTCGAAGAGGTGGTATTGGTCATCATGTCGTCAACTCTATTCATCATATCTGGCGGTATTTCATCTATACCCAGTGGTTTATTAAATTGTGAATTAGCTGCCATATTAGTGTAATCATAGGAAGGATAAGTATAGGGCAAATAACCCGCATGATGAGCTTCAGTAGACACCACCGCCGCTCCCGAGGCATTACGTGAAGTGGTATTTATAAATTTCACCTCGTTGGCATTACGTTCCATACAGGAACTGAACACTATATTGATATTGTTTGTGCTAGACGACAAATTAATGTTGGCCGGCGACAAGGGAGTAGAACTACACGATGACATGGCACAGGCACCGGCTCCGGCACATCCTTCTGAAGTGGAAGGATTTTGATTGAGATTTGTCTCTTTGCTGGAGTTACGTCTAAAACGACTGTCATAGCTGCGCATACTTTCCGTTCCCTCCACCGAGGACAATGTGTTAGTGGCAGTGTTGTTATTGGCAAAATTGTTTTTATATTGGAACTCCAGGGCATTGCTCGGCTGAAAGGGATAGGTTTTGGTATTGTTCAAAATATTCCCAGTATCCTGTTGACCTTTCGAAAGATATTGGTGTATGTCTTCGCTTGTGATTTGTAGATCTTGATCCAAGTACGTGTTGCACTGTATGTAGTTGCTGCAACAATTGTTAAATGTTTCGGCATCTTGATGGAATTGCACCATGGTAGACTCTTCATATTTACAAGGACTTTCACAGCATTTGCGCGATGTAGAGGGGCGATCGTCGGATGAAGATCTAGATTTAAAATGATGTCTGCTTTGTGTTCTGTGGCTTTTAACTGGCTGCTTTTCGGGCTCAGCAACTCTTTGTCTTTCTCTTTCTCTCTTGTGTTGCCTAACTTCAGGTCTATGTTGTTTTCGGTCATCTATAGTTTTCGTTCCATTTGTGTGCTGTGGTCTTAATTCGTCTGCACTATCGTTGTTGGTGCTGGTCTTACCATCAGCCAGAAAACTCCATCTTATCGGAGAAGGGGAACAAGCATATTCAGGTAGATCATTACTTAAAGCATCTTTGGATGTGTGTCTTTCTATAGTTACCTTTGAAGGAGAATCATGAGACTTGGTGTCACCGCCATTGGCTGCATATTGTTTAGCTCGATCGAAAACTGAAGTCAGCGAACCCATTTGGCTGTTGGGTCGCGAGGCATTCAAAGCTCTTAAAGAGATCGAACTGTAACTCGGCTGTCTTTGGTGTAATTTCTTCTTGCGCATTGTAACCGAGGCCGATTTTACCGAGTTGTTGCGGCTCAGTGAGGAACGCGACCCATACAGACTCGTCGAATCAGTTTGATAACAGTAATCCGACGATGTGCAACATGAAGATGGTCGCCTAGATGAAGTGCCATACAAATCTTCGGCAAAATATTGAGCCAGTTCTGTGCGGGAATTCGAACAGCAGGCCGTAGATTTTTGCACAAATATCTCTTGAATTTCCCTTTCAGTACATAAGGGATCATTGCAAGTGTTAAGCGATGATTGGGAAATATCAGTAACTGAGCGATGCCGACGAGTGCAAGTATGACCTGAGGATTGACCCTGGTGCAGATGACCATTCGTGTGTCTCTCCATTCCCCCGTCCAACTCGTCTGCTGCGCGTGCTCCATTGGCTTGATGATGCAGAAGAGTGTTTTCGCTACGTTTTCGCCGACGATGATGGTGTGAGTGTGCATGTGAATGAGCGTGAGCAATATGGGACGAAGTACTGCGAACTGAAGCTCTTGGTGCACTATTGCGTATAAAAGGCTCTACACTATTGGTGCCATTTTGGTGTTGATCATGCACATGATGATGCGACTGATGGGGTGAAGAGTGCGAATGCCCGTGACCATGGCTGTGACCATGTCCATGAGGTGAAGTATGACGACTATGAGGAGAAGTATGCCGACTATGAGGTGAAGTATGGCGACTGTGTGGGGAAGTGTGGCGACTATGAGGTGAAGTATGACGACTGTGTGGTGATGTATGTCTACTATGAGGTGAAGTATGACGACTGTGAGGAGATGTATGACGACTAGGATGTGGACTGTGACTGTGTTTTCGTGGCATATGCTGATGGCGATGATGCTGTGGAGGTGGTGGTGGTTGTTGCTGTTGATCTTGCTGGTTAAACGGCAGTGAATATTCAGCGGTGCAAGTGGTAGCTGTTGTGTTGGTGTTCGATTGCCAGTGCTCGTTATGTTTTTGCTGTGATTGTGTCAGATGTGACGGCTGCTGGTGCTGGTGCATTTGATTATCATCACATACAATATCCTTTTCATAGCTACACTGTACGTGATGATGATGTTGATGCTCCTGCTGCTGTACTTGTTGTTGTTGTTGCTGATGTTCATGTGAGTGTTGTTTTTGTAGTTTCGGAGTTTGTGGTTGTTGCTGCTGCTGTAATTGTTGTTGTGACTGTTCAGCGCTCGTTGAATGTACACTGGCAGTTTCAGGAAGTGAGTCGTTCCTCAGTCAAGGCCCGCTGTTCTGGTAGGCATGTGCTTGCTGACGAAGGTGATGGGGCACAGAGGCAGCGCTCCGGCCCTGGTGTGTATTTCGGCCGTCTCCTAAACAACGCTCGGATGCAGCTGTTTAAATTAAATTTAAAATGTCTTCAGTATATTTTGATTTTTAGATGTTCGAGAGGAATATCATTAAAGGACCTTTTTGGTTTACAAAAGCGTGCTTTTCTTTAATGAGAGGGAGGGATTTTCAAAGCTTTTAAGGTGAACATGCTTTAAAGTTTATAAATTCTAAATTATATACATAAATACTTGCCAATTTTGTTCAATCATGCTTTCCTAAGACATGCTATTTTAGTGTAGTATTTTTTGTAATTAAATTTTCAACATTTTTAATAATAAATTAAAAATTTTTAATTATATTTAGCTTTTTATTAATTGGCATTTTTGTTGCGTTTCTTTAGCGGTGTCCTATGAGTTAGTAATGGTGAAATATTGTGTTTAAATATTGGATTTTTTATGTTTGCCGGTGCTATGGTGTAGTGTTTATTAAAGTTAATTATTATAGGGAAATTGGTAGAGTTATAAAAGCTTCTCTATACTAATGTTACCGAAATTTCGGGTGAGATAATCAGATATGTAGCACCATACAAAAAAACATTCAACAGCTCTATATCTATTGTGATAAAAAATATACCCAGTTTAGAACTAGAACTGAACTAGAACTGAAATAGAACTGAACTAGAACTGAACTAGAACTGAACTAGAACTGAACTAGAACTGAACTAGAACTGAACTAGAACTGAACTAGAACTAGAACTGAACTAGAACTGAACTAGAACTGAACTAGAACTGAACTAGAACTGAACTAGAACTGAACTAGAACAGAACTAGAACTGAACTAGAACTAGAACTGAACTAGAACTAGAACTGAACTAGAACTAGAACTGAACTAGAACTGAACTAGAACTGAACTAGAACTGAACTAGAACTGAACTAGAACTGAACTAGAACTGAACTAGAACTGAACTAGAACTGAACTAGAACTGAACTAGAACTGAACTAGAACTGAACTAGAACTGAACTAGAACTGAACTAGAACTGAACTAGAACTGAACTAGAACTGAACTAGAACTGAACTAGAACTGAACTAGAGAACTGAACTAGAACTGAACTAGAACTGAACTAGAACTGAACTAGAACTGAACTAGAACTGAACTAGAACTGAACTAGAACTGAACTAGAACTGAACTAGAACTGAACTAGAACTGAACTAGAACTGAACTAGAACTGAACTAGAACTGAACTAGAACTGAACTAGAACTGAACTAGAACTGAACTAGAACTGAACTAGAACTGAACTAGAACTGAACTAGAAACTGAACTAGAACTGAACTAGAACTGAACTAGAACTGAACTAGAACTGAACTAGAACTGAACTAGAACTGAACTAGAACTGAACTAGAACTGAACTAGAACTGAACTAGAACTGAACTAGAACTGAACTAGAACTGAACTAGAACTGAACTAGAACTGAACTAGAACTGAACTAGAACTGAACTAGAACTGAACTAGAACTGAACTAGAACTGAACTAGAACTGAACTAGAACTGAACTAGAACTGAACTAGAACTGAACTAGAACTGAACTAGAACTGAACTAGAACTGAACTAGAACTGAACTAGAACTGAACTAGAACTGAACTAGAACTGAACTAGAACTGAACTAGAACTGAACTAGAACTGAACTAGAACTGAACTAGAACTGAACTAGAACTGAACTAGAACTGAACTAGAACTGAACTAGAACTGAACTAGAACTGAACTAGAACTGAACTAGAACTGAACTAGAACAGAACTAGAACTGAATTAGAACTGAACTAGAACTGAACTAGAACTGAATTAGAACTGAATTAGAACTGAACTAGAACTGAACTAGACCTAAACTGGAACTGAACTAAAACTTTACTGGAACTAAAACTGAACTAGATCTGATTCACAACTGAACTGGAGCTGATCCACAACTGAACTAGAACTGATCTACAACTAAACTAGAACTGAACTAAGTAGAACGGAACTAGGACTGAACTAGGATAGAACTAAACTAGAACTGAACTTGAACTGAACTGTAGACAAGTTAGTGTGTTAAGGAATCAGAAGTTGATAGATGAATCACAAGTTGAATCTATAAACTCATTGATCTTGAATAAGTTCCGTGAATTTTAAATTTTATCGTGAATGTTTTGCTTTTAATGTTAGCCCAACTCATAAAGAATGATCATTCTTTTAATGTATTGTAGTAGATTAATGTTATAAATAAAGGTATTTGGTACTAGAAATGTTTTCGACGTCGATATTTAATTTCGAATTTATTGTTGGCTTTGACTATGAATGACTTAATGCAGGGCAACTTTTCTTTAAGTTGATCTTATTTTTCAAAAATCTTTCTACAAGCGGAAAAGTACGATTTTAAGCGTGACAATATGAATGGATTGCTGAAATTTCAGTTAAAAATTTAAGCTTTTAAGATAACATAAATGAAGTGCTGTTAAAAAAAAATTATGAAACAAAAAAGTGAATTTAAAATTACAACAATTTTATTTTGTTTTTGATTATCATTTAAATAGTTCTGTTTTTCAACTTTGCTTGTTTTACTCCATTAAAACTGTACAAATACCAAAATAAAATAAATATATATATAAAAATTAATAACAATTTGAGTGAATTTTCTTGTTCTTGTTTTTCTTTTTTTTTTTTGGTGTATTTGACAAAGTGAACATTTAACAGACGTTATAGGGGATACCTGATGACACCTACACATTCTTCCATGAGCCGAATGGCGACGAAAATTATCACGATCATAATAAGAATCGTAGTAACACTTGCGCATTGGATTTGGCGTACTATACGCATTCGTACCATAATTGGTGTAACAAGTTGAGCTGCCAGCTAAACTTGTTGTTGGACCCAAGAGATTTGTGCTATCGCTTAACGGATATGGACCCATGCCTTCAACCGTTAATGAAAATGAAGTTGTACCAAATACTTTAGTTGTTTTTTTTATTCATAATCAAATTATAATACAAAGGGGTTTCAGAAACAAAAATAGATTTATTTTTGGCCAATTCAAGTTGATATGTTTTGTTTCAGTGTATTATTGAGATTATTTTTTTTGTTTTGGTTTAATGAGTTGAGAAAAATCCAATTTTAACGATGTTTATTAAAGATGTTTGATTTTTTGGGATAGTTTTTTTTTCAAATGTTTAAAATTATTTACCGCAAATAATAAATGCCAAAGAAACATATTCAATTATTTATTAGAGTATGAAAAAGAAAATTAAGGAAAATTAAATTAATTAAAAATCTGTAAAAAATTAAAATTATATTACAATATAATAATCTAATCTATTTAAAGTTATTATGTAAGATGTGTTGCTAATAAGACCATAATGGACTATGTCGGCTGCAAAAATATTACAGTCCCTTATATGTATATCAAATATTATTCAAATATTTTAGTAGCAACTCACCACAACATGTAACTTAAATTAAATTAGTTGGTTTCAAATTTTTTTCTATATATTAAAGTTTTTGAAATCTAAACAATCACAACTAATAACATACACAATTAACGAGCACAAACATATTTAATTTACAATATTGTTAATAATTTAATTCATTATAAATATTATAAAGCAACTAAATCGCTAATGTTACGAAACTAAAAAAATAAACGTAAACGATTATAAGGTTTAAAGCTTATGTAAATTTTGAACAAAATTAGCTCCCAAATTAGAACTGAACTAGAACTGAACTAGAACTGCACCAGAACTGAACTAGAACTGAACTAGAACTGAACTAGAACTGAACTAGAACTGAACTAGAACTGAACTAGAACTGAACTAGAACTGAACTAGAACTGAACTAGAACTGAACTAGAACTGAACTAGAACTGAACTAGAACTGAACTAGAACTGAACTAGAACTGAACTAGAACTGAACTAGAACTGAACTAGAACTGAACTAGAACTGAACAGAACTGAACTAGAACTGAACTAGAACTGAACTAGAACTGAACTAGAACTGAACTAGAACTGAACTAGAACTGAACTAGAACTGAACTAGAACTGAACTAGAACTGAACTAGAACTGAACTAAAACTGAACTAGAACTGAACTAGAACTGAACTAGAACTGAACTAGAACTGAACTAGAACTGAACTAGAACTGAACTAGAACTGAACTAGAACTGAACTAGAACTGAACTAGAACTGAACTAGAACTGAACTAGAACTGAACTAGAACTGAACTAGAACTGAACTAGAACTGAACTAGAACTGAACTAGAACTGAACTAGAACTGAACTAGAACTGAACTAGAACTGAACTAGAACTGAACTAGAACTGAACTAGAACTGAACAAGACTGAACTAGAACTGAACTAGAACTGACCTAGAACTGAACTAGAACTGAACTAGAACTGAACTAGAATTGAACTAGAACTGAACTAGAACTGAACTAGAACTGACCTAGAACTGAACTAGAACTGAACTAGAACTGAACTAGAACTGAACTAGAACTGAACTAGAACTGACCTAGAACTGAACTAGAACTGAACTAGAACTGACTAGAACTGAACTAGAACTGAACTAGAACTGAACTAGAACTGAACTAGAACTGAACTAGAACTGAACTAGAACTGAACTAGAACTGAACTAGAACTGAACTAGAACTGAACTAGAACTGAACTAGAACTGAACTAGAACTGAACTAGAACTGAACTAGAACTGAACTAGAACTGAACTAGAACTGAACTAGAACTGAACTAGAACTGAACTAGAATTGAACTAGAACTGAACTAGAACTGAACTAGAACTGACCTAGAACTGAACTAGAACTGAACTAGAACTGAACTAGAACTGAACTAGAACTGAACTAGAACTGAACTAGAACTGACCTAGAACTGAACTAGAACTGAACTAGAACTGAACTAGAACTGAACTAGTACTGAATTAGAACTGAACTAGAACTGAACTAGAACTGAACTAGAACTGAACTAGAACTGAACTAGAACTGAACTAGAACTGAACTTGAACTGAACTAGTACTGAATTAGAACTGAACTAGAAC